TTCCTTTATTTCTTATCCTTTATAGGTTTTTAATAGCAGTTCTATAAAGGTTAATTTATAATATAAAACTATATTATATTTACTTTAAGTTATTTTAAGTATCTTAATATATATAGCTATTTAAGGGTCTTATATTTAAGTTAATCCTAAGGCTTACTTACCTTAATTTAGTTTTTTTAATTTCTTTAATTCTAGGCAGATATATATTATATATCTAAACTAGTTATAATTATAGTATTTAACCTTAGATATATCTTAAGGCTTTCTATTTCCTTATTAAGTAGCTTTAAGAACTATAAGTCTTGCTTTAGTTTTATAAGAAGTATTATTATATCTTTTATACCCCTAATTAGCATTATTTTATTTATAATTATTATTTTACTATAGGTTATATATTTTACTACTTTATTTAGCTTACTTCTTATATCTTTATTTATATTATTAATTATTAATTTTAATTATAATAGCAGTAAGGTTATTTAAGTTAATAGGCTTAGGTCTAATATTAATTATAGTATCCTTAATTTTAGACTTTAGTCTTAAGTATACCTAAGCTATATATACTTCCTTATTTTAGTTAAGCCTAAATGCCTAGTAGTAATATTTAGTAAGGTAAGAGGCTATAAATCCCTTCTATTTAAGTTATCTAATCTTTAGTTTTATAGATTACTTTTTATTTTATATCTTAAGTATATATTATATCTCCTTTTTAAAGTCTTTATAGTTATTATAAATATAATTAATTATATCTTTTTATTTTTTATAAGGATTATTAATATAATTATATATAATAAGTTTAAACTATTAAAGTACTTTATCCTTAAGGAATCTTATTATATATTATACCTTAAGTTTATTTATAGTAAATTAAGTTAGGTAATATAAATAATAGCTATATAGGCTAGTAAAGAATCCTTAAAGTTTATTAATATCTCTATTATATAAGTTAGGCTATTATAATTTAAGGATTTCTCTAAGGTCTTTTCTAATAGCTATAAGTACTATAATATATTTAATATATTCTTAATATATTTTCTTACTTTTCTTAGCTTTTTCCTTAAGTCCTTTAATAAGTTTAATAAATTAGGCTACCTTAGCTTTTAAGGTTTTAATCTTACTTTTAGTTATATTAAAGTTATTTTTTATATTCTCTAAAAGATTATTATATTACTAGCTAAATCTCTTAAGCTTATATTTAAGTTTTATAATTTCCCCTTTATAAGTACTTAAATAAGCAGGAGTAATCTCTTCTTCTTCTTTATTATTAATTTCTATAAGAACATCCTCTAAGTTAAGAGGAGTTTCTTACTATAATAAGTACTAGGTATATCTTAAGTTAAAAGACTAGCTTAAGGTAATAAGTACTATTATATTAGTATTACTTAGTATTATATAATATAGTCTAAATAAGAGCTATTAATATATAATAATTATAGTTTCTAAAGGATAAATTAATTTATTTTAGGTTTATATTAATAAATAATATAAGGTATAATACTAAGTAGTATAAAGTATTATATCTCTTAATAATTAAGTAATATATATTAGGCTTATTAATATAAAGAAGTCTTATTAATAGCTAATAAGCTAAGATTTATAAAAGTATTAATAAATATAATTTATATACTTATAAATATAAATAGTAATTAATAAGGTTATTATAAAATTAGTAGTAATCTTAGTTAAATTAGTGCTAATTGCAATAGATTAATTATAATTATAAAGACTTGGCACTAATCTAGTCTAGTAGGGTTATAGTAATTAGAGGAAAATGTGGGGTACACGTAACGGTGCGACTAGGGTCATAACACAGAGATGCTCTTAATAACCGTCCTGCCATCCTGGATAAGCGTTTACAGTAAAGAAGAAATCTGCAGTTAGGTAAAGGATAAGTATAAGCTTGCCTTAATTGCATAAGCACTGGCTATCGCTTTAATAGTTATTAAAAGACTAGCTATATAAAGAATAACAGATTAAGCTATATTTAAATTTATAATTATTATAAGTTACTTAATGTAAAAATAATAATACTACTTACCTGTTAAGTAATAAAATATATTTATTAATAATAGCTATGCCTTATATAACTAATAATAAATATTACTTTAATTATTAAAAATAAGAAATTAAATACTTAAAGGAATTAGGTTTTAAGTAAATTTACTAATACTAATTAATATAAAGATTTAAAAGAAAAATAATAAAGAGATAAAAGAGAATAAGGTAGAAAATATCCCTTTAAGTGCCACAGCCCTTAGGGAGGTCACTCGCCCCACTTAGCTTAGTCACAAGGTTAGTACGTGCAGGGTACCGGATGTTCGTAAGATATTCAACTTTAGTAAAATACTACTAAAACCTCATACTAATTAATATCTATTAAAACGATAAGTTCCCTACCGATTCTTAATAAGATATATATGAAGGAATATGACTTCGATAATTACAGCTTTTACATACATGCACAGTAAAGAGGCCTAGGCTCTACCAGAATAATAATTAACCTGCCTAAAGAGGCAGCCGGCCGCAACTTTATGCCTTTTAATATAGAAGATCGTGATTTTCACATCAACATACTGCCTCTAACACCACTCGAGCTATTCCAGCTTTTTACACCTATATCCCTTATATAGTCATGGGTCTACTACAGCGATAGCTGGGTCTCTTATCTGACGCAAAATGGCGTTATTAATAGCCATAACTCGGCTATTTCTGACCAGTTACGGATTAACCGGTAGGACGGGCTCTCGGCTGCACAAGTATATGTATAGCTCGGGTTGCTAATTTACCTAGGAATTCATAAGGAAAATACAATCAAGAGCCATTAGAGCCCCCCTTCCCTAGGTATTCAGGCCCCCTTGCATTCAATCATCAAGTTCATGCCTCTATAGAGGTTCCAGTTAATCTCACGCTATATACAGACTTTTAACCACACTTTGCTTAACCTAGGCAATGAAGAGGACCTTCCGAAGGCATTCGAAGCTGCTGAACCGTAGTCTGACCTCATACAGAAGGTATCAGCCCAGCTCTATATACTAGGGAATAACGTTACTGTAGATAAGTATATAGTCCCTTTTACAGGCAGGAGTAAGGATACAACCCTAGTCAAGAATAAGCCTACGCCCGTAGGGTTCAAAGTCTGGGTAATTGCCCAAAATGGCTTCTTTATTCGGTGGCTGTGGCATATAAAGGCATCACCATATACCGCTGTTATCATCGAGCTGCCAAAGAAGAAGAAGAAGAAGCCGGCTGTAGAGCTGCAATAGGGGAAGAAGAGAGAGGGAAAGCCTAAGGAGGCTGTGGCCCTTAGCAATACGGCAGGAGTCGTTATTCACCTAGTTAATATGCTGCCGAAGCAGACATATCACGTCTTTATGGATAACCTCTTCTCCTCGCCCAATCTCTTCCGTGCCCTTCGAGAAGCCGGTCACGGAGCTACAGGCACAGCCCGCCCTAACTGTGGCATCACTAAGGAGCTTAAATTTGCAAAAGGGAAGGATAAGGCAGGTGCCTCAGGCTTTAAGTATAATGAAGTAAAGTCGATCCCTATAATAGATGACCTCGTATGCCCGAGGGACTTATTTATATGCAATTCCCTTACTAATTCGTCCTTCTTAGGTCGCTCAAATCGCTTGGAAGGATAACAGCCTCATGTTATTTCTCTTAACTGTATACAGTGGTGCCGATAACTAACGCACGCCAAAGAGAAGAAGGAAGCCTGCTAATAAAGGGGCATAATCCAAGCCGATACAGGAGACCTTTGGTAATGCCGTAATAAAGGTTATTCCTATACCGACTGTATCTGCTTCTTATAACGATGAAATGAATCACGTGGATCGAGGAGATTAGATAAGGTCCTATACAAGCTACGAGCACCGATTTCGCCGTGGCCTGTGGCAAGCGCTCCTTTGGTCCTTCCTTCTCGATATAACACTTGCGAATAGCTTCATTTTGCAGCTCAAGACCTCACAGCCGCGGTGGCCGCCTTACAAGACCCTCGAGAGCTGGAAGAGGTGCATTTCTAACGCCCTATTCATCAAATTTGGCCAAGAAAGTGGCGCAAGGAAGAGATCTAGGTCAGGGAAAGAGGAGGACTTGAACGATACTCAATCACGGCAAAATCATCTGCAAAGGGATATCAATCATGTCAATAGGGGGATATTCTCGGATTGCCTTGCTTGCAAAGGCTTCAGGCAGGGGCAGCCCCGACCCTTTAAAAAGAGGAAGGTTGAAAATAGCTTCTTTTTGCAGCCGATAATAGGTAATGCATAAAGTCGGCACCGAGGAGGCTCAGGTAGGCAGACCTTGTATGGCTGTAAAGTCTGTGAGGTAGCGATTTGTAACAATCAAAACTGCTAGGACTTTTACCATCATACAAATTAGTATGTATGGAGAAGTACCGCTAGTTTTATCTATTTTGATTGGTCTGATACCCCTGTCGTGACTCCGCCTAAGGGCTGTGGCACTCAAAGGGATAAAGGCTTAATAAAATTAAGATATTAATTTTAAAATATATATATATATATATTTAGTTTTTAAAGTCTTATAGGCAGTAGCCTATTAGGTATAATAAATCTATTTATTTATTTATTTAATTACTAAAGTAAAAATAGCTTTTTAATATTTTGCAAAGTAAGTCTTGCTCTATAAAAGATTAAGATCCTTTTGCATTAGGCAAGTAGAAAAAGTGGGATAATGCCGTTTTATGCTGTAATAGCCTTATAGATTAACTAGCTCTCTCTATTTTCCCTATTGTCTCCTTTCTCTTTTTTCATTATGGAAATCAATTATATTATGCTTTATCCAACTGCACTTATTGGTTGCCTATATGGATTGTGATGGCTAGAAACAGAAATAACTGCATGCTCTTCAACCAACAGAAAAAGAATAGCAACGGTCTTGTGACTGCCTGACCCCCGCACCTGCAGCCACCTATGCAATCCGCCGACCAGGGCTTTGAAATCGTCAACCCTCTCCACTTTAACCAGGCGCCAATGGTGTATTCAAGGCTGAGTTTCAAGGGGCGCCCAAGTGGTATAGAGGGGTTACATGACCAAAGATGTCAAGGTTCATTTCCAATCTGGAGGTCTTATCGTTTCTTTTTCATGGCAGACAAGACTAATAAGTTACACTTCTCAGCTTTCAGTCACAACAGAACCCCGATTCTTAGAGTTCATAAGGATGACATTGTGCTGTAGGGATACTTTAAACCGTACACTGTCACTCACTTAGGCTATCATAGAGACTTCATAAACGCCTTACTGTTTCAAAAAGCTTTGATTGGCTTTCATTGAACGGTGACAGAACCCCGCTCATCCAACTGCTTACCCTCCATGAGCTTGATACTCACTTTTTCGGTCAATGCACACTGCCTCGTTTGGCCTACAAATAGCTTGATCGACGCTGCATCTTTTCTACCAGCCTTGAATATTCCTCACGCTCACCTATTTTATTTGATCTGAACTCCCCCACCAGCTCCACCCTTATCATGGCTTCTTCTATCTTTCCAAAAAGTATAGCCCTCGAAATCGCCATCGACCACCGAATTCGGAGGTTGTTCAGGCCAGTACCACACTCAGGAAAAGGGTCGAGTCGTGGCTTCCATGTTCACCTCATCGAGGCTTTTGGGCATGACCTTGGGCTGGACGATGACGAGATACAAGTAACCGCGAAGTTGGCGGGCCCATTCTCTACTGGAGGGATTGCCATCGTGCTGCAACAACCACGAGGTAACCATCCTTTCAAGGATGGTATTCACGCGGTAATCGATGACTGTGACACTTTTATGGCCTTGGAGGAGTCATTTGCAGCAGCCTCTTGTGATTCCCTTAACATAATTGATGACGTCGCAGTAGTCGACCTGCTTCCATACATTCCCAAGGAAGAACTGAAGGAAATAGAAGAAACGGACGAAACGGACAATCGAGTGATACGAGATGCTTTTCAGACTACTATCGACTTTCTCGTCCACAAGAGGCCTTCTGCAGTCTTTTGCGCAGGATATATCGGCGGCTGTTTACCAAAGGGCGAGGCGCGGGAAGTCGAAAGCTCAGGAATCGGTAACACTTTTCACAACCCCTTCGCAACACTTCGGGCTGAGAGTCAGGGGATAGTGAAATTGGACCGAGTTAATGGATTTCATCCTAGCTCTGCCATGAACTATAATCCTGAACACAGCTGCTTGAGACAGCTGTTCTTGCTTGAAGTTGCACATACGTGTGCAGTGCATAGGGGAGACTGGAAGGAGGAAACCTGGATGAGTGGGTTTCGGACCTTGTGTAAAGAGGAATTTAGCGGGAGAATTGGTAAGTTTAAACAATAAGCGACTTACCCTGTTACCACATATCTAACCCTACAATAGATAAGCGGTTTGTAGTCATGTCAACAGCTGCACAGTACGCGAGAGCGCTAATATGGAACAGAAAGTACATACCCGACTATAGTGTTCTTTATTCTGAGAGAATAGAACGCATCAGTACAGCTATTAGGGCTTTTGACGCCAGGTCATCAGGCGCCTTTGATGGGCTCTATAATACTCTTGTCGAGAGTCGTCTAAGTGAGAACTGCAACGACGCAAACCTCATACTGCGACAGTTGTCTGAGCTAGTGGCCAACGGTTGGCCACAACAGTATGCGGATAAAAACAAAAATAGCCTAACTGACATCGCACTACATACACAGTGGCTAGCCCTTAATGCTCGGGAAACTGATGGCTGGTATCAGAACGCAAACCTAAGGAGTACCATTTCGACCGGGATTAAATCACTTGGCCAATGCATCTACATTCCACGTCACCAGAATATGCGCTTAAATCTCGTTAAAGCAAGCGATGTGTTTCTTGGGATAGCAAATGCACTTGAAAGTTTCCTTTGGAACCTCGTCCAAGGGAAAACTAATGAACAATTCCACAACAAGGAAGGAGGTAGTATACAGGAGGCTATTATTATCCCAGACTAATCTAGGCATAATAATAGGTATAAAGCTTTAAGACCTTTAATTTAAAGCCTTTATATACCTAGCCTCTTTAAATCTCTAACTTTACTAACTTATTATAAAAGTAATTTAAATAAAAAATATATATTAATTATATTATATAAAAAAGGATTAACGTATACGATAAGCGAGCGAGACAGACAAGCGAGCGAGACAGTATACTGTACAGCAAAAAGTAGCTTACCCTATAGCTTCTTAATACTTAAATAAAATAGCTAAAAATCTAAGAAAATTATTTCTTATAATAGTATAGCTTATTATATAATAAAGTATTTTTTAAAGACTTTTAATTATTTTATTTTATATAGAAAACCTTAAAATACAGTGTAAATTACAGTGTAAATATATTTTAAAGTTTATAGCTATATAGGATTTTTTTTAAAATCTAAGAAATTTTATATAGCTTATTTTAGGACTTATATATATGTTGTTAGGATCTTAGCTATTTTAAGTTTAATTTGAAACTTTAAGAATTATTTAAAAATCTGCCTTTAAGGTGAAAAGTAGGGTGTCTCGCTTGCTTGTCTGTCTCGCTCGCTTATCGTATACGTTAAATATAAATATTAAATTATATATACTTTTTAAACACCTCTTAGAAGTATGTACATATTAAAGCATTAATAAATAAATAAAAGAATTATTTAATATAAACTTAATATCTTATTTATATTTTAAAAATTTAAAACCTTAGCTTTAAATAATATATTTTTAAGTTTTATTATTATTTTTCTTTTTATAAGGCTTTAAGGCTTTTAATTAAAAGAGAAGCAATACTATAGCTATATATATAATAATATAATAATAGTATTCTTTTTAACATAAAGACAATATAAGGCGTTATATACTATACTAAAAAACAAAATAGCCTTAATATTATAACCCAACAGGAAAAGGCGCTTACGTCACGTGCACCCTATAAAAAACCAACTAATAACATAATAACTTATATTATACTAAGAATAGTTAATTATAAGCTAGCTTGCAGGCTTATAATAGACTTATAATCTGGCTTATAACTTACTATAAGCCTTAATGCTTAAACTATAAGCTACCTAGTATATATATATACTCTTTAGTAGTAAATAGAACTTAGCTTACTAGCTATTAATAAGACTTCTTTACCTTAATAAGCCTAACCTGCACTATTAACTATTAAGAGATATAATACTTTGCTATCGCTTAGTATAATACCTTATAACTCTGTAAACATAAAACCTAGTATAGACTAGTTTACCTGTTTAGAAACCCTAACTATTATACTTAATATTAAGTAAACAGATTATATAGCTACTGTATTATAACCCTAGCGGTTTTATTATAAATACCTTATATTTTCTACTAATTATTATAACCTTTACTAAAGACAATTAGTACTAAGACTTTATAATTAAAGCTAATCTACTATAATTAGTACTAATTTACTATAATTAATACTAATTTACTTAAATTACTACTAATCCCTTAATAACCTTACTAATTACTAAAGGATATATTTAATATATAAATATTTAGTAGCACTTATATAAAACTTAGCTTATTAGCTATTAATAAAACTTCTTTATATTAATAAGCTTAACCTATATTACTTAATTATTAAAAGATATAATAACTAACTTACTTAATATAATACTATATATAATTTATAAATATTAAGTTAATATAAACTAGTCTCCTTATTTAAAACCCTAATTATAATATATTAATAGCTCTTATTTAAAATATATTATAATAATAATTAAGTAATAATATATTATTACAATATCCAGTAATACTAGCCAAACACTTTCTTATACTAAAAAACCCCTTAATATAGCTAAAATAATAGCTAAGATCTATTAAATATATAATACTATCTATAACCTATAGGTATGTATTAATAAATAAGATATAGCCCTAGCTAAAAATATTAATTACCTCCCTTAAGGATAAGATATTAAGGAAGTATTAAAGCTACCTAAGCTAGAACTTTTTAAAAGATAGGCTGTTAATATAATCCTATTCCTAACCTAAATAAAGGCTTACTTTTACCTATTTCTAATTAAATTAAATAATATAATAAAGAAAGTATTATATATTATATTACTAATTTAAGGAAATATTAAGGACTAGTTTAAACCTATTTTTAAAGACTATTTAAATAATAATAAAATTATATAAAACTAGAAAACTATTAATATTTTTACTAATTAAAGAAATTTTAAAACTATACTTAAAAATAACTTTAAAGTAAGTAATAATAAATACTAATTAGTTATAGATATTATAATACTTAAATAAACTAACTTATATATAACTTACTTTATAAAATTCTATTAACTTGTTATAAAAGCCTAATAAAATAATAAAGCCCTTATAGAAATCTATTATAAAGAATTAAAATAAAAGATTAAAGATAAATTATATAAAGCAGATTAACTTAAAAATATTATAAAATATAGTATTATAGTAATTAAAATTAATAAATAATAATATAAATATAAAAAAAGAGGTTTACTAAAATAAATCTAAGATAAAGAAGCAACTTTAACCTATATTACCTAAATTAATAATATAATAATAAATATAATAACTCTTAAAACTAAGGATAATAATAAGGTAATTAGTTAAATAATACCTTATATAAAATATAACCTAGGCAAATAATACTTAAAGTAACTTATCCTAACTATTAGAACTTTAATAAACTATATAATATATCTAAATATAAATACTATAATTATAACTAATTTAGATATATAATATATTATTACCTAAAGCTTAAAAAACTAAAAGACCTAAACTAAAGTAAGTAGACCTTAAGGCTAACTTAATTATAAGATTTATAAATAGCTATATATACTTTAATATTAGGAATATATAGAGAAGGCTATAATATTACTAGCCTAAAATTTATAAATAAATTATAAGGATAAAACCCTTATTTAGATAGTTTAATTAGGGAACTATAAGATTTATTCCTTATATATAATAAAGTTAATATAGAAAATATATTAGTAAGAAATAAAGAAATTAAAAATTAAATTTAAAGGAAACTAAATACTTATAAAAGGACTAATAACTTAAAATACCTTATTAAATTAATATAATATAATAATATAAAAAAGGAAAAACTTTATAATAACTTAAAATATAAGAAATAAAGAATACTTAATAATAAGATATTTAAAAAATTAAGAAAATAAAAAAACTATAAGTCTTAGGAGTTATAAATTAGGGAAAAGTAATTACCTCTAGTATAGATAAATTAGCCTAAGTATTTAAGTAAATAGATAATATCCTAATTAGGATAACCTTATAAGATAAGGAAGAGCTATAGCAGAAAGAATAAGAAGTTAAAAACTAAATTTAAGTATATAAATAATAATATATATAAAGTATAGGATATAGAGGAAATGCAGCATAATGAGCTATATAATATCTCTATAAGGAAAATAAATACCTTAAATAAAAATAAAAATAAGGATATTAATTATTATTTAATAAGTTTAATATTAGATATTATAACTTATATAAAAATAATATATATAAGGAGTTAGAAAATATAAAAATACTAATAGAATTAAAATAATTTATATTAAGGTATATTATATTAATAATGCTATAAATCCGCTATATAAGTAAGAGAAGTTTAATAAATTAAATAATATCTAAACCCTCTTAATATATATAAGATATATAGAGATTTTATAATTATTATATAAGTATTACTAGTATAATATTACAATCTTAGCAGTTATCTTATATATACCTTATATTTTTCTTTTAGTTATAAGTAGTTATTATATACTAAAGGGTTTTATAAGTAACTGCTAAAACTTAGTTATTAATATCTTATTAAAAATACTAGTAATTCTTAAAATTACTAGTAACTTTAAGAATTACTTAATAACTATCCTCTTAAATAGTAATTACCTTTAATTTATTACTAATAAACTTAAGGTTTAATATATAATAAGACTTCTTAATAGTAAGGCACTTAAATAGTTTAAACCTATTATATATAACTATATTAATAACTTATATAAGAAATATAAAGCAAATACTAATTATACCTACTTTAGCTATATATAATTTAGAATAGAATTAAAATATATATATAAAATAGTAAATAAGAAAACAATAGTAAAAATAAAACTTTAATAACTTAAGTAAAGAAGATTTATAGCTATATATCTTATTAAATATTACTATTAAGTATTTAAACTTAATTAAAATAAAGGGGTATATATAGCCTAAGTATACCTAGGACTAAAGTTAGAAATTAAGGATATTATAATTAATATTAAACATAAACCTATTAACGTAAATAACCTTACTATTAATATAAGTAAAATTAATAACTAGTAATATAAATAATAATATAAAAGGTAAGTAAAGAAATATAAAAGGTCTTATAATTTATAATAAAATAGTAATAAATAATAAAATATTAATTAAAAATATAAAAAGAATAATAATATATTTTATAAAATAAAAATAAAACTAATAGTATTAAAAGTAACTTAATAAGGTAATAATAATTAGTAAAAACCTTAAAATATACTTAAAGTTAAATATTATAATTATAACTAGTTTAGATATATTATTAATAAATATCCTTAAATATAAAAGCCTAAAGATCTTAATTAAGGTAATTAAATATTAAAAGTAATTAGTAAATAAAATCCTTAAATTACTATATAAACTTAAATACTAAAAATAATATAAAGCTTATATAATATAATAACTCTATATAAAGGCAGTATATTAAAATATAATTAATACTTATACCTAAATAGTTTAATTTAAGAATTATAAAAAGAGTTTTTAGTAAAAGAAAATATAAAAGTAGGAAATATACCTTAAATTCTAATATTATATAAAATAAAGGTAAATAAATATTAAAGGGGATAGTAAAAAAACCTAGTAATCTAAAAATAAAAAAAGGAAAAAGACTATACTTAATATTTTTTTATAAAAATAAAAGAAAAAAAAAGAAAAAAAAATTAAAATAAACTAAAATACTTAATTTAATAAAGAAAGAAAAGGGGATCTGTCTAATATAGGAAAATAACTTAAAGTATTTAAAATAATTAATATAATCCTAATTTAAATAACTATATAAGAAAAAAAGGAAATAGTTAAAAAAGAATATAAAAAAGGAAATAAGGTTTATATATATTATTAATAATACTTATAA